AAAAAAAAAAAAAAAAAAAAAAAAAAAAAAAAAACGAAAGAAAAAAAGAAAAAAGAGCTTGCATTTGTCTGGACGGCTTGGCAGCTATGACAGGGTAGCCATTGGGGGCAGGGCCTGGCAGGTCACTCAACCCACTTGTCAGTTTGGCGACAATAAGAGCCTGAACTTTGGCCGGATGACTCCATCCCTGCTGGCTGCTGCCAAGGCCTCCCTCTCTGGAAATTCCCACAGCATCCCAGGGCACAATGCCCAGACAGCCAGTATCCATGAAGATCTACCTTTCCTGGGTGGGTTTAATTACCCTCTCGTTTACCCCAGCTGAGAGCACCAGTGTTGGCCAGATAAATAAGGAATGAACTGAACTCGGACACATCATCTCAAAGAATAGAAACCGTCTACCAACCATTCCTGTTTCCTGTGGGTCTTCTTTTCTTGTGTGTGTGTGTTGGATCCACACTATGTAACCCATTCCCTTCTAACAACAACAACAACAACAACAAAAGCAACTGGCTTTTACATCAAGACCGGCCGATGAGAAGAGCTAATGGAAGATCAGAGCTGGGGGTGGAAGTCAAAGTCATTGCATCCATTTTCTCTCCCTTCGGTTAAAGGAAACATGTGTCAAGTCCTGGCACCATGCTAAGAGTGTCAAAACCTCACACATGCTAACAGCCCCGCAGCCAGCCCCACAGCCAGCCCTGGGAGGTGATTCCCTATTTCATATGTGGAGGCCCTGTAGCAGGGTGCCTAATTAATTAGGCCCAGGTCACTTGGTTGGAGGTGGGTTCAACCTCAGGCTGCTAGTTCTAGTACGAATGAGAGGGGGAAGGAGGATGAGGGAAAGGGATGAGGGAGGGGGTGGCGCCTTTAATCCTAGTAATTGGGAGGCAGAGGCAGGTGGATCTCTACGAGTTTGAGCCCAGCCTGGTCTACAGAGCAAGTTCCAGGACAGCGCAGAGCTATACAAAGAAACCCTGTCTTGAAAAAGCAAAGAGAGAGGAGAGAGAGAAGCTGCTGTATGGTGGTGGTTGTGCATACTTTGAATCCCAGCCCTTGGGAGGCAGGGGCAGGCAGAATTCTCAGTTGAGGCCAGCCTGATCTACAGAGTGAGTTCCAGGACAGCCAGAGAAACCCAAAACAGAACAGAACAAAACAAAACAAAAAAAACAAAGAATGAGATAGGTCTTCATATATAGCATAGGCTTGTGTTAAACTCAACATGCAACCCAGGCTGGCCTTGAACTCAGAAATGTCAGAGCATTTTAAAGATTTGTGTACATGTATCGTTCATTTTCATTGTGCATTAATTCTTTCATTCTCTCTCTCTCTAGAGAGAGAGAGAGAGAGCGAGCGCGCGTGCACGTGCACACACACACAAGCTCAGCCGTCTTCCTCAGGAACACTGCCCACTTCCTTTGAGACAGGGCTTCTTATAGGCCTAGAGCTCAACAACAAGACAGGACACCCCCCCCCCCAACCTCTGGCCTTTGCCACCCACTGAGGGGATTACAAGGCTTTTTACTGGGTGCTGAGAACTTGAGGGTACAAAACTTTACCAATGAAGCTATCTCCATAGTCCTTCTTGTTGGGGACTACAGATAGGTGCTACCACACTTAGTCAGGCGACACTCTTCAGGGTGTGCTACCGAGTGCTGGTCACGGGATCCAAGACAGGAGTGAGAACCTGCCACTGCACATGACCCTCCCCTTGGGGCATTTCCTGAAACACTCTATGAAGGTGACTTGGAAGAGAGAGCCTAGACTTGCTCACAGAGATCTTCCACTTCAGCCCCACCTCAAAGCTTCTGTCTCCATTTGGTGGGGGTGCAAGCCAGAAGAGGTGACCTAAAGGCAACAGCCAACTTTGACAGCACCACTCAGAGTGTCGTTTCTGGGAAGATCTGTGGTTAGGGAGGTTACAGACGCCTCAAACACCCGAAGTGCCACTTTGGGGACCAATATAGCAGTAGGGAAAAAAAAAAAAAAAGCTGAAATGGCCCAGACGCTCCCCAAAGGAAAAAGAAGCCACACAAGAAGCCAGGCCGGGAGGAAGTCGGCCCCAGAAGGAGCCCATGATACCCTGCTGGGGTGCGGCAGGGAAGGCTCCCATTTTCCTTCCAGCCAGCCACACAGAGCTCTGGCTAGCCCTGCCCCCACCACAGCCACAGATCCATTACCAGCCAGGCCCGTTCTTCCAAGCCTGGTCTAGGCAAACGGGTCTCTGTCCCCACTTCACTACTTACACAGAGGGTGGGGGCGGGAGGGCCAAGAAACTAAGGAGGGAAAAGAAAAAAGAAAAAGAGAAACAACAACAAAAGTGGCTGACTGCACAGATGTGGGAGAGACACAGGCTGGCCTCTTTCCTTTCCACATCGTCCTGTCCTCCAGGTCCCCAACTTCAGGAACAGAGAGAGAGCAGTGTCTCCAGCGTAGGTCAATTCTCCCACCCCACCCCCCACCCTGTGGACACAGAGGTCACAGAGACCCTCCAGTGTGGCTCCACCTGGCGTGCACTCAGCAGCCAGCAAAGCAGGCCTCCGGGGCACCCCTGGTCTGGACATGGTAGCACAGAACCAGTAATGCCAACCCACAAGAGGCTGAGTTTAAAGGATTAACAGGGGTTTGGGGCCAGCCTGGGTTAACCTTCTTCAGGCCGGTGGGACGGGGCAGTCAGCCCTGTAGAACAAACAGTTCCAGCTGTGTACCCTGAGGCCCAGCCAGCTAAGTTCAAAATCTGCCCACCTCTTGAGCTGGGCCAGTGGTGCTGAGGGACTAGGACTTCGACCGATATCCCAGCAGGCAGACAAGACAGACAGAGAGAGGGGCACGTGGCTAGACAGTAATGATGGTGGGCTTTCCTCAGTGTGGCCTCTCCAAACCTCAGTAACCCCACCTACAGGATAGGAACAGTCCCTTCTTCGGCTAGGAGGGGTGGCTCATCACTAAAACCCCAGCACCCAGGATCCTGGCTAAGCCAGGGGATTCCAGACAAGCCAAGGATACAGTGAGACCATCACTCAAAACAACCCGACAACCAAAGAGGTAGCCCCTCAAAGAGGGCTCTTCCCTTTCCGACAACATGGTTGTGCGAAGTGACACATGCAGGGCCTGTCCATTAGTAAGAGCCTAAGAGAACGATGGCTGTTCCTACCCTGCCTACTGGAGCCCACAGCAGACCCGAAGTCTAGGAATGTCCAGATCTGTGTGCGGAGAGCAGATGGCCCTCCCAACAGCAAACCCAGCCCTGGCGCTCATGTACACAGGCGTGAGTAGGTGAAGGGCAGGGCTGGCTGCCTCCTGATAGCAGCCCCACCCCACAGGGGTCAGATTCCAGAAGAAAAAAAAAAAAGCTGAGGGTGAGCTCTTGTGGGGCTCACAAGGGCAAGGGGATTGAATTTCTCTAGAGTAGGATGCAGAAAAAAAAGAGGATAGAGACAAAGAGAGGCGGGGTGGATACATAGAAATAGAAAGAGACACAGAGAGACAGAGACAGAGAGACATAGACAGGCAGACAGACAGACAGACAGACAGAGAGAAGTTCTCTCCCTGGCCCAGACATCTGGCCCTCTGACCCTCTCTCTCCCTGACTGTTGGGCCATTCCACCCGTCATTTGGTGCCTACACTCTTCCGCTTCCCGCTTCCCCAGGAACTGCTCAGGAGCAAGCGGCTGCCTGTAGCGCAGAACACACTGTCGGGCTGCACGTCCCCAAGGCGCCACAACACGTGCGAGTGAGTGAAAAGACCGGAGCCCAGATCCTGCAACCTCGCTCGGCGTGGCCTGGAACTCTTGAGACAGCACTTACCAAGCAGGGACAGGAAGGGAAGTGACTGATCTCCCACCTACCCTTGGAGTTGCATGGAAAGGAGAAGCAGCTGCGTGGCTTTTAGGTTTCGTAAGGGCTCAGCAGCGCTGGAGACTACTGTGCTTTTTATGGAGCGGGAAACTGTAGATGATAGAAAACCTTAAAGCAGCCAGACGCAGTGTAGCCTTGGGAGATGGAGACAGGAGGAGGAGTTAGATGCCCTTCTTTTTCTCCTCCCAGGATTTTTTTTTTTCACGTCCAATTGTATGTGGGTGTGTGTGTTTCCATGTGGTTATGCGCACGTGAGTGCAGATGCCTGTGGTGGCCAGAGGCTTCGGATTCCCAAGAGCTGGAGTTACAAATGTTGTCATGACGTGGGTTCTGAGCTGTCTTGCCAGCCCCCAAGGCCATTTTTTTTAAGAAGGGCTACAAGACATTATCATCGCAAAACAACAACCAAAAAACAAACAAACAACACCTGAAACCGTCCTGCAAGGCATACCTCACCGATGGGGGATGAGAAGCGAGCCCTTGTAGCCCAGGTGGCACCTCCCTGGGCACCATGCCAACTGGGTAAATTCCCCTACTCTACTCTCTCCTTTAATCCTTTAATCCTCACAGAGGCAGACCTGATTGCTTCCAGGCAGGGCCTCAGGGCTCCTGACCACCCAGCTCGGTGAAGCTCCCTGTCCCTCAAGGACAGTGTCTTCTCTGAACCAGGGCAGGTGACGTTTCCTTCTCTACTGTGGGAGCCTGTCCCACTCAGGAAAGCCAAGCTCAACGGGAGGAGAGATCCACACATGTTGCCCTCCCTCTGAGGTTTCAAGAGATGGTTACAGAGGACAGGCTGTGTAACACAGACGAAAGGTTTTTGTTTGTTTGTTGGAGGTTGGCTCTAAGCCCCGGGTCAGGTGTGAATGGAGTGGCAGGCAAGGAATAGCTTCCTGGAGAAGGCAGCAGGCTCTAGGAGCCCCAGCAGAGCCAAACAGATGTCCACAAGCCCTCCAGCCAACTGCAGGTAGGAAGGCAGTATTTATGCTCTCCCTGACCTCCCCAGAAGTCAGGAAGTGTGAAGTAACTGAGGCCAGGTGGGGGCGGGGAGACAGGCAGGCCTAGGATTTCAGCACCACAAGCCCTACAGAGACCACAGGTGCCCTTGCCCAATCCGGTTACACAGGCCCTCCCCTTCCACCAGCCACGAGGGCCCAGCCCCTCACCTGACTCTGCAGCTCGCTCTGTTGCTTGAGGCGGAGGTTTTCCGGAGTGTCGGCCACCATGGTGAAGGACTGCTTGGGGTAGTGTCTGCCAGACAGAAAAAAGATTACACGTCACTCAGGGGTAGGACAAGGAACTCTGGGCTTCTCTGATTGCTGTGCAGCCCCAGACCCACTGCCAATGCCGGGACTACCCAGGCAGAGCCTAGGCTAGCTGAGGGGGCAAGACATGGCAGGCCTGAGTAGCTGTCTGGCAGGCAGAATTGTGCTGGGCCACAGGGAGGCTTCTGAGGATTTCATATTACCCTTATTTCAGAGAAGCCATGCCTTAGCATATCCCACAGAGGAGCCCAGGAACAGTCCACCCAGGAAAGCCTGCCTAGTCAGACAGGCAGAAGATGGGCACAGGGTCAGAGCCGAGACTAGCAATGGAGACTAAGCACACAGGAACGAGAGGGAGCCAAGACTGAAGGGAAAATGGGCAAGTATACTCCCCGAAGAAGCCATAAACCAGAGTGATAAGAGAATGCGCGCACCGGAAATGGTGGCTCACGCCCTTAAGCCCAACACTCAGGAGGCAGAGGCAGGCAGATCTCTGTTTGAGTGCAAGGCCAGCCTGGTCTACAAAGTGAGTCCAGGGTTGGCCAAGGCTACACAGAGAAACCCCATCTCGAAAACCAAGAAAAGCAGAGAGAGAGAGAGATTGAATATATGTGTCCAACATAGTCCATTTCTTAGGGTAGATGGAAAGATGTGCTTCAGGTGACCGGCCACAGCTGTTACTATTGCCCTGTGCTAAAGGCTCCTGTGAATTAGTTATCAAACTTGCAGTCACCTTAAGCTAGTGTTGTCCCTGTCTCCCTTTGGCAGACAGGAGAGCAGGTGCTCGAGAGGTTGAACAGTCTGGTCAAAGCGCACAGAAACAAGTCAGAATTCTGACCCCTCGAAAAAGCTGGCCCTGAATGTCTCCCTCAGGGACTTGGAGGACATCCTTACTGCACAGACAGGCAAGCTGTGCGCTTGTCAGGCAGCAGTCTCTGTGTTCGTCCATTCATTCATCACATCGCCCCTTTCCTCTCCAATTCTCCACGGGCGGAGCAGAGAGAACTGGTTTGGGTCATTTGTCCACTGGTTTATCCAAGCTTCCAGAAAGGAGCTGAAGCTCAACAAATACTCGAGTAAACAAACATCATATCGGGTGCTGAAGCTGACCTAGGACCTTGGAACTTCTTCAACAATCCCCCCGTGTCACCCTGAGGGCCTCAGGTAAACCAGCCAGAGGAGAGGCAGGCCTGAACACACCAGGATCCGTGTTTAGTGCCGCAGTGGGACATACATGGCATCCGTACGAACCCCACCCAGCTCAGGGACCTGGTGGGTGGCTTCACCAAGCAGGAACTATGTTGAAGTCTAACTCGGCCACGCTTAGCTCTGGGTGACAGCACCCATCACAGCTGTGACCGGTGCAGACCCCCTGACTCACAGACTGCCAAGGGCCAGCTGAGAAAATGATAGGTGGTCCATTAGGGTCTTTTCCCAGGTATGACCCTCCCAGGTTGGCCACTCGTCCAGGAAGTCATGAGCTGCCCCCCGCTTCGGCCAACCCCGGCATGTTCTTTCTTCACGCACCAGCCTGTGAACAGGCTAGCCCTCTGGGCCACCTGGGCTAGAGAGGACTACAACCAAAGAAGGTACAACTAGAAGGGACGCTGTGATGGGCTCTCATTCTAGGTGAGCATCCTTCAACTCCCGTGCTGACGTCACTGTCCTAGGCCTAGGCGACGCCAACGTGAGTTCTAGCCCATCCTGGTCAGAAAGACAAACATCTCCCCCAGCAAAAGGAGGGAGCTAGATGAGAAAAGCAAACACAGGTGCCTGCAGCTGGCAGCAGAAACGGGCCGTGAATGAAGGCAGGCAAAGTCAAGGTCCCACCCCCAGGTCTGGCCCAGTGCCCTGCAACCAGGCCACCCACAGCTCAGGAGCCCATCCAAAAATTCCTGCTCCCGTCCAGGGCAGGGGAGGGCTCTATCGGGACTCTGTTCCTAGAGACGAGAACTGAACAGTAGGAACGGAGGTGAGATCTCCAGGAGAACTGGCTGCCCCTAAAACCGTCAGAGATGGGGCTTCAGAAAGGACCCTCCACACAAACTGGGGGGGTGGGATGCAAGCCAGGGTGAGCTGGGCATCTGTCAGTAGAGATGCCCACAGCAGAAGTGAGGGGCTTAGGACACAGGCAGCTGCCGCCAGGTGTAACTGATTAATTCAGATAACGAGTAAGATTATGTTGGACAGGGTGGAGGCCGCCTGGGGAGCTGAAGGCAGGGACTCAACAAGCATACATCCACAGAAGGCCATCCCGAAAGCCTGGAGACTGTTCTCCTTTGGCCGCACGCACAGACTTAAGGCAGAAAGCCATCCCCGTGGGCCCAAGGGGAGCCAGACACGTGTGGCAGGCGGCCACGCCCTCTCCCCGGTTCTGCAGCTCCTGCACGCTGATGAATCCATAGGTGTGTCCTCCGCATTGACAAGCATTTCCTGGACACAGAGCTGGCAGCTGTAAACCCTCCACGTTCAGATATCTTCTCCACTCACCCTGTCCCACTTACACCCGACACCCCACCAGAAGATCCCAGGCACTAAACGCTTCAGATGGATTTGGGGTACTTCACCTCTTTGTAGCCACCATGATCTTCTCAAACCCCCCAAGGACAAGAATATCAATAGGGAGTGGCGTGGACCAGCCTAGATGTGGACTCTGGAGTGCTACAGATGGCGAAGGAATTTTAATCCTGTATCAGTTCAAGTAGGTTAAGACACTCCGAGTGGACAGCCAACCCCCGGCAGAGGAAGGGCACTGCAAGCACTACATTCCTCCTGATGGGTCAGCCCAGTCCCCTCCCCACAGCCCCCAACCCTGGGCGAGACTACCGTGCCTTTCCCTTCTCCCACTAGCTGCTATGCTTCCGGTTCCCATGGCAACCTCATCCTCAGCTCCAGGCAGGAGAGCAGAAAAGGGAGGAGAGGAAAAAGAGAGAGAGAGGTCTATGGGGTGTGGGGGGCAGGGGAAGACAGACTGCTAGAGTATCCTCAACCAAGGAGATGCCCAAGGGGCCTGGGCTGGTTTCTTGTAGACAGCTGTGCTCAGGTTTGTTTCTAGAAGGCAGAATACCAGAGCACCCGGGGCCGCACCCCTCCCCCAGCGTGGAGGTCTTTGAGGAGGACTCCAAGTGATCTTGCAGAAACCATTGCTAGGAATTCTACTTCCCTCCTCCCCCTGGTAAAGCCATGCCTTCACTTTCAGATTGAGAGAGCAGGGGTGGGTGGAGTTGAGACACAGCCACAGAAACAGAATTCGGGACATCATAAGGGGCAGGGGTGGGGCTGGGGCCACATCCCAGCTGCTCTTTGTCCCCTCCCAGGCTAGCCTCTTATTAATCATTCCCAGAGAGTGTGATGCCTTTGCTAGCCGCCTCTTAGTCCTGTTGTTGCCAATGACAGCTCCAGGAGGCAAAAGAGATAGGACAGGAAGCTGGGTAGGGAGGGATAAGGAAGCTGCCTGGCATCAGGAAGGTGAAAGGAGGAAAAGCCTGTGGTAGCCCACCAGAAGGTAGGCGGGGAGCTGGGCAGCTGCTGGGGCAGACACCCTCCCCAGGCTGGCAGGGACACAACCTCTCCCCAAATGCCCCTCGAGGCTCTAGGCTGGAAGAGGCAGCAGCAGCAGGACGTCGATCTTACACAGAGGGAACCTGGCTTGGAGTCAAGGATGGAGACTTCACTGGGTGCATTCTCCCCTGCCCCAGGGCCGCCTGCCAGCTGAGGGCACGGCAGACCCGTTGGGGCTGAAGGGCCCCAGTCCAGCTCCAGTTCCGAGGAAGGTGTAATTGGCAGAGTGACCGCCAGGCAAAGTGCTTCATCCTTCACGCCCCGCCCATTTCCCAGCCTGACCTTTGAAACCCTTGAGAGGACAGTGACCTCAGGGATGACCTAAGGAATCCGGGGAAGTGGCCTCCATCTACCCCACTGAGGGCCTGAGCTCTGAGAGATGACAAGGAGTGTGTGCCAGTGTTTGTAGGAGCTGTGTCCCAGAGGCAGAAAAAACAAAACGCCCCTTTTTTTTTTTTTTTTTTTTTTTTGCAGGGAACATCTCCCCTTCCAGGCTGGGACCTCTTGAAAAAAGCACTGCTTTGTGTTCAAAGGCGAATAAAAATACATCAACAAAAATAAGGAACTGTTGGTTTTACTAAAAGGAAGGGGAGAAGTAAAAAAAAAAAAAAAAAAGTCTACCTCTGGTTAGAGCTGTGGATTCGCAAAGCCCCTGCTGGGAACACTGCCCACAGGCAGGCAGGCAGGCAGGCAGAGAAGGCAGGCGAGGGTCTATAAGCCTTGAGTCTTACCAGCCCTCTCCAGGCCTACCAGACTAAAGTGGTAGGGACAGGAGAAAAACAAGGAGGCCATTGTTTGACCAGATGGGCAAAAATGAGCAGTCCAAAGATTAAGGGCAGACTAGAGGAAGAACTTACCAGCTTTGCAGATAAAAAAACAAAAAACTATGTCCCTCTTACTTCTTTTTTCCATTCACTAACAACTTTAAACAACATCCACACTTTTCCCCTGTTGGCAGTATTAAAAGAGGAAAGATTCTGCCAAGCTAAAATAAGACGTAAAAACATTGGGTTTGAATTTTCTTATCAGTATATAGGGCCCTGGGGGGTGGGAGTGATCCCCAAGATTCCTTGAGGCCCTGACAAGGCTACAGGCAGAGCTACAGGGAGGGGGTAGGTAAGGAAGCCTAAGATGCCACAAATGCCCCACCCCACGACTACGGCAAGGCCAACCAGTTCTACCTACACAGCAGGGCCTATCTGTGGCTAGAGGAAGCTCATATTTGCCTAGCTAGCCCGCACAAGGCCCTCAAACCTCCAGCCCCGACCAGCCCGGTGGACAACACCTGTCATCTCAGTACCGGGAGGTGGAGGCAGGAGAATCAGAAGTTCAAGGTCAGGCAAAGGAGGAAGACAGTTACAGCCACTGACGTCTAGGTGCACGCCTTGACTTGTACTTGCCTGTGCGCAAACATTGACCTCTCTCCCTCTCTCCTCCTTCACATATACACAATTAAAAAAAAAAAAAAGTTTTAAGTTCAAGGTCATCCTTGGCCACATAAGTGAGCTTAAGGCCAGCCTGGGCTGAGACTGTTTCACAAACCGAACCCCACAACACTGTGACTGGGATCTGGATGCTAGCCTACCCAGACACAACGGCTCAACCCTACTCTTTACCATTTTAGACCTTGAAATGGGCAGATTCACAGTCCTCAGAAAAAAAGAACATTTTTACCCCTCTCAACTCAGCCCCTCACCACGCAGCTCAGGAACACTGAATTAGGAACCCAGATGTCTTCTGTCATTCTGGGGGTGGGGGGAGATCCTGCTGAGGCCTTTCTTCCTTCCCCAGATAGTTGGTCTAGGCTACAGCGGACCTCCTGCCTTCAGGACTCCAAGGCAATCTGTCCCCATCCTCACCCCAACCCCAGCCCTGACCTCCACACTCTGTGACTGTTTGCACGGTCACAGAGAACTAGGTTTTCATGAGCCAGGGTTCTGATGATCCAATTTTACAAAACAGGTACTTTAGGGCATAAATATTTCTCTAGCCAGCAAAGCAGGCCCACCCCACCCACGTGGAAGCTGCAGGAAAGAAGAGGTGGGGACTCGTTAGCTTGGGCTACTGTGTGTGTGTCCCTGCCTTACGTCAGAGAGCTGACCATGAGGAATCTGCAGGGCAGCTCAATAGTGGGTGCCCAGTTGAGGGCAGGAGGCCACTCCAGGACAGTGTGTAACTGCATGCCTGTGGCCCACAATACCAGGCAGGCTGGCTGCAAGCCCCAGCCTGTGTTCATGCCCCCGACTCCTCCTCAAACACGTCTGATGCAAGGAGAGAAAACAGAAGCCTCTTCACTGTTCCGTCACTTTCTAGAACTTTGGAAGGACAGAAGGGGCAGACGACTGACTTTTTTCTTTCACTCCCTCTTCCTCCACAAGAGCCTAGGTGCCCTGAGGCTCAGACACCCAGCCAGAAACAGGCAGTGCACAGAAGTTCCCTGCAAGCCAGACTCACTTCACACTTCACACTCCCTGGGTGGCCTGGAGCCCTGGCAAGATGCCAGGAGATGTCACCTGGCTCTGGGTCCCACCCTAGCCAGGCTTAGCCCAGTGGAGAGAAGCAGTGCACTGCAGAAGGAGGCCTGGCCTGTGGCCCACGAGCACAGCTGGGGCTGAAGGGAGTCTGGGGTGCAGAGGGAGCTATTCCCCAGAAGCCCTGAGATTTGGGAACTGTAACGCCACTGAAAAATAGGGCCAGAGACAGCTGGAAACAGGAAGGAAAAAAGTGCTCATTTGACAGAGGGCCTGCCACACAGCAGGAATTCTGGTCTAGGGCAGAGGAAACCCAAGTCCAGGCAGGTGCAGAGGCCACCTATCTGCATTTGGCTGGGGATAAGGAACTCAGCAGACTGTCCCACAAAGCCAGCAGGGAGCAGCAGCTGTGGCCAAGAGGCTGCTGTAGCTGGAATGAAGCATAGCTCTCTCTCTCTCTCTCTCTCTCTCTCTCTCTCTCTCTCTCTCTCACACACACACACACACACACCACTCCCTCCCCTCCCCACCCCCACCAACACATAAGTCCCAAAGCAGGTCCTTCCCAGCAAACACTCCCTGGTCCAGGGGTTAAAGGTCACCTGGATAGGGTTTAAGTTAGGGACTGTAAAAGAGGCCAGAAAGGCGATGCCAAGCCGCTCCCCTAGCTGAATGTCAGTCAGGGAGGGCTTAGACAGATAACTCTCCAGGCAGGGAAGATTTCATCTCCTGCTTCTCCCAGACCTTCAAAGGCTACAGGCTCTCCCCTCTTGCTGCCTGTCTCCTCAAGAAAACTAAGGTAGAGGTCTGTCACCAGGGCTAAGGGGATTCTGACAGAAATTCCAACTTCCTATGCTCACCAGGTAGTAGGTTAGCTGGCTGGGGAAGACAGCCAAGGAGTGACTTCGGCCAGGAAGTGGAGGCAGGACCAGAAAATGCCCAGACCAGGCTGAAGCAGTCCAGCACCCAAAGGGTTAAGTGCCCTGGTTTTTCTGAACCCCACCCCACTCCCCAAAGGAGGGAGGAAGTGGCAGAGAACCAGGGTTTGTGTGAGCCCTTAAGAATTCAAAGAATGTCCTATTTCCCTTGGGGCTGGAAGGGCTGGGGGGATTGGGGGGAGGCAGAGAAGCCATGCGAGTCAGAACTAAGGGGAAGGGGACCAAAAAAAAAAAAAAAAAAGCTGTGGTCCTTCCTTTAAAAGGAACTCTGCCTCTTGGGCTGTTATCAGAAGCCAGGTTCTCAGCAGGTTGGTAGTTAGCAGAGAGCAGGCAACAAGTGTCTGATAAATGTTCAAACCCCCAAGGAGACAGGACCATAATAGCCAGCCCTCATGGAGAGACTTCTCCCTTCCAGGTAAACTTTGGCTAAGTAGAATTAAATTGGGAAACCAGCAAGGTCCAGAAAAGCAAGAATCTGGAGGTGAAGGCAAGAGGATCAGAAGTTTAAGGTTATCTACCCTGCACTATGTAATGAGTCTAACCTAGCCTGGAATATGCAGGGACACAAACAAACCAAAATTAAGATACCTAGACTTAAAGCAGGTCATAAACTTTCTTGCCACCTCCCTGACCTTTTAGAGCCCAAGTGGCCAGAGGTCACTGCTGCACCTGCTCCAGGCCCAATGCTGAGGCTGCACCGCTGCTCAGGAGTCCCCTTGGGAATAGAGGTCCCTCTAGAGTGGGAGATGATGGCCTCTCTCCCCACGCCCTGCCTCCAGCTAGCCAGAACATAAAATTCTGTACAAGGAACGAAACCCAAGTTAGCAGCTCTCAGAATAATGGTCAAACAGTGTCTGTACTCTCCTTGCAAGGCAGAAAAGGAGCTGCCCATACTTGCCACACCTTTCTGAATATAGAACAAAGGTTTGGAGAGATGGCTCAGCCATCTTTTGCAGAAGACCTGGGTTCAGTTTGCAGCACCCATATCTCGGCTCACAACCACCTATAACTCCAGTTCTGGGGGGATCTGATGCCCTCTTCTGGTCTCCATGGATACCAAGGCACACAAGTGGTACCAATACATACATGTAGGTAAAACATTCATACACCTAAGATGAAATAAATAAGTCAAGTCTTTTCTGTTTGGTATTGTCAAGAAAAAGAGAGAAAGAAAAGAAGGAAAGAGAACAGAAACGAGAGGTCTCTAAAACCTTCTAGAAGGGACAGCAGAAAAAACAGCCACCAAATGAGAGAAGGCGAAGGAGAGAACCACACTCCCAAGCCCGGACACAAGGCAGCAGGCACAGGACAGGTCCTTAATCCCTACTGTGCCCTTTGAATAGCAGGGTGCCGTGGAAGCAGCCTGCTGGCTTCACCGTCCAGAGGGCTGCCTAGGAACCCGCCTCAGCCTGGTACATTAGCCTTGCCATGTGATTCCGAGACCGTCTCTTCCCTTCCCAAGCCTGTTTTCCCATCTAAAAAATGGGGACAGTAAGAGCGCTCTGCTACTCGGGGACAACGTGATTACACTCTATCAAGTAGGGTGTGCAGGTGTTACAATGTCTGTCTGTCAGAGGGGAGAGAACTTGGGAGGGAAGCCAGGTCCCCCCAAAGACTGCTGCGTCCCCCCCCTCCCGAGACTCACGCATTGCAGTAGGGCTTCTTCTCGTAGCCCTTGTAGTTCTTCATGTTCAGGGTCATCTTGCAGGTCTCGCAGTGAAAGCATGCTTTATGCCAGAACTGGGTGGAGACAGGAGGGAAGACGCAGTTAGACAACACAACTTCCCTCGGCCTGGGGGCTCCAGTTCTCCACCCTGGTCCCATGCCCAAGGCTGCAAGAACACCCGGTGAACCTGGGCATTACAGATCACGGGCTCTGACAGCCAGTGACCCTCCCGTGCCCTCCTCGTGCCCTGCTAGGCAGTTATTTAGCTATCGGGACAGGGAGTGGACCAGATCTGAGTGTGAAGGGATACAGCCCCCTTAAGAAGGAGGTAGCAGCCCCCAGAAAAGTCAGCTTCCCCTCCCCAGGCCACTCCAGCCCAGAATTGGATGGGCCTCATTGCTTATGCAAAGCGGCACTCCGTTGCTAGGCAGCACACAGGGAAAGAGCTGGCCCTTCTGCCACCAAGCCTGCAGAAGACAACCTGGCCCCTGGTGCATAGGCCCAGACCAGGGCACATCTGACACCCCACCCCCTCTAAACATCTCTGACCCTCCTCTCCATGATGCTCTGGCTCAGTTAACTCCCATTTCCCAAGGGATCCGAGATTAAAGGAGCTGGTGCGTGCCCCAGCCACGCCCATACCCTGCCTATTCCCGACTCTTCCATCCCCAGCTGGACAAGGGTGGGAAACACCTGCAAAGGCAGAGGGGCCCTTGGTTTCAAAGCCCTGCTCCTAGACTCCAGGTGTGTCCATATCAGAACCCCACCCAGAGAGCTGGGTGACCTCCACCCTGCCCGTACTGCACCTGGGAGTCTGACTCTATCTCCTGTCTACCGACTGCCTAGAATAATGCCTATCCTTTCGGGCTGTCAAAGATTCACTCGAATTCTCTGCCCCCCCTCCCCTCCCCCCGCCAGCAAAGCACCCAGCACCTCCTGCCTCCAGGCAGGTGCTGGACACTGGAGGAATCCAGAGCCCAGCTTGAGCTCCAACAAGCAGTCAATGGAGTCACTCCTGAACCCCAAAGGAGGCAGCCAGAGGCTAGGGAGGGGCCCAGGGAGACCTGGGAAGTGCCTGAGTGAGCAGTAGGACGGACTCCTCCGATCATCTGTCACGGAACTCCCCCAAAGTGGTGCCTTTTAAAACCTGTTTCCCAAACCAAGAGAACTTCAGACACTCTCGGCAGAGGAGGAGCCAGAAGAAAGGACGCTCAGAGGCCGGGACTCCAAAACCAGACACCAGGACTATTTCTAGGGGCAATCGCCCTCCAACGGGACGTTTTTCCTATCAAGGAGACCCAAAGGAAAAATCTAACAGGGAATGCTAACAAGGCAACGGAGGAAAACCACTCTTTGGGAGGGAAGCCAGCTCTAAGTCTGGAAGTGAAGGATTGGCTGGTCTGAGCTTGGCCCCACCCCCACCTGGGACCATCCCAGAGCCATTGCCCCACCCCCCACCCGCAGAATCCTTAGTGTTTGGGGCAGCTCATAATCCCAACATACAAACCCCCAGGAAAAAAAAAAAAATCAAATCGGGGTGGTCCTTTCCCCATTGATGCCCCTGACTGGGAGGCGTTGGCAGATTGCCCCAGCACTGTCACCAGCCAGTCGGAGGCCCCTGCCTGCCATGCCCCTGCCTGGGCCCCTGCCTCCCCCACCCCCCGCAGGGGCCTGCCAGGAAAAACATTCTGCAAAATCCAGACCATGACCCACTTTCACACACACATAAGCAGGAATACACTGTCCTAGGGCTAGGGACCTCCAAGGCGGCCTCCTGATTGACTCTGCATCAGGAAAGAGATCTCTTAGCAGACGGCCAGGCCCTCCTCACCCTCCAGCCCAGCCCGGTGGAGAAAGGAGGCAGGAGAATATCCCGAACAGCAATTCAGCTAGAGCCCCCATACCATACCTGAGGCTGCCCCCAAGAGTTTGCTCCCATTAGCAGTCTGCCCCTCAGGGATCCTTCAGGGTCCCGTGTTCTCAATGTGACAGCGCTCTGGGACAAGGGAGGATGATCATCTGTCCTGGGGGGGGGAGGGCTGCTCAAGAACGGAATAATGGGAAGCAGAATGGGCTGAGGGACTCACCGAGGGAGGTATCCTTATCTGTAAAGTGGGGGGGAAGGGGGGCACAACAACTTTCATCTCCCCCAGGAGACCAAGAAGGTCACTCCTTTCGGGAGGCAGGAAATGATCATTCATTCCACAGTGCCTGTGAACCAACCCTCCGGATGAGAAACTTCATCCTGTCTCCATCAGGTGTGAGGGGAAGGATGCTGCCAAGGGAGAAAACCATTCCAGGAGGGCCAGCCTTCCTCCGCCGCCGGCCCTAGGAGCCTTGAGTGACCCTGTTTGCAAGGCCCAAGACAGACTTTGGGAAGGCACTCCTGGGACTTGTGACTGAGGAAGCAAGCCACCCCTGAAGGCATGCAGCTCAAAGGGGAGCTCCCTAAGGCACAGGCCAAGCTGCTCAGTCAGACCCCAGGCACCAGAGGACACCCGCCCTCCCCTCACGTGCCTGGAATGCTGTGTGGAGAACTGACTCTACGAAAGACAACCAGGCCAGTGGGATAGAAGGCCCGAAAGGATCCCACTCACTTGAGCCAGACTTTGTGCTCTGTGGCTCTGGAGACGGGGAGAGGAGCTTCATTCGGGTCCCTGTACCTGCAGACTGTCACCTGCTCCCTAGGGTGGCCATGACTCAGGGATGGAGTATGAGACCCCTCCCTTCCTGTAGCCCAGAGTTAGGGTTTGCCTCCTCTTTAGGGGTCACCCCCAACATTACCCTAGCCTAGGTTATCAGCCTGACTCAGGATTTCCAGCTTAGGAACGCCAAGTATCCAACTCACTTCCACAGTTCCTTTCTAGTAACCTGAAGGCCCTTGAGCCCTCAAGATCTCACGCCCAGGCCCAGCACATTCCTCCAGACAGGATGGGGATGGGTGGGACCCAATCCCCCCACCCTCAGAAAGGGTTTCACCCGTGTAACCCTGGCTCGCCTGGGAATACACAGCGTAGCCCAGGCTACTGGCCTCCAACTCAGAGGTCCTCTGGCCACTGCCTCCCAAATGCTGGGACTGAAGATGTTCACCACCATTCGGCCTGAGTGGGATCCACTTTTGAAAAAAAAGAGAGAGTATAAATAAAAATAACTTTTTTTTTTTTTTTTTTTTGAAAAATCACCAGCAGAAGAGCTAACCAGCAGAAACTGGGGCGGCAGCTCAGTCGGTGAAGAGCTCTCCCAGCAGGCAAAGACAAAACCCTGGGCTCGGTCCTCAGCAAGGCAAACACTGGGTGTGGTAGCAGAGCTCCTCTGCCATCCCAGCACTTGGGAGGAGGAGGCTAAGAGGAGGATGGGGAATTTTCAAGGACAGCCTGGGCTCCATAGGACACTGTCTCAAAAAAAAAATTAAACACACACACACACACATTTTACAAGTCATAGTGGCATATGACTGTAATCTCAGCACTTAGGAAGGCTCAAGTGGGAGGATTTAAAAAAAGAAAGCTAGAACTTTGGCTGGAAGAAAAGGGACCATCCATCAGCCTCCTGTTCTAAGCAGGCATATTCCAAACCACGGCTGGTGGGGAGGGGGGGAAGATCAGACATACACAAAACTGTCCTATGCTTACTTAAAATATTATAAGAATTTTTTTTTTTTTTTTTTTTTTTTTGTAATTTGGTCAACTTGCTTGAATCAAGAACATTTTTGGAGATGACAGTGTCATGTCCCAATGTCAAAAGGTTGGGCACGGGGCTGGAGAGATGGCTCAGAGGTTAAGAGCACTGGCTGTTCTTCCAAAGGTCCTGAGTTCAATTCCCAGCTACCACGTGGTGGCTCACAACCACCTATATAGTGAGATCTGGTGTCCTCTTCTTGCCTGCACACAAATGCAACCAGAATACTGTAAAAATAATAAATAAAGAAGTCTTAAAAAAAAAAAAAAAAGGTTGGACACAGTTGCTTATACGGCTCATAGCGTACAGGGGCTATCCATACTGGCCTAGGAGGCTGCCTAGCTCAGGACACCTAGTATGAACAGCTGGTCCTGAAGTGATTACAGGGCCGTCTAGGGGGGGTGTTGGAATGACAGCTGTGTAGTTAAGAGCAATGGCCTCTCTTCCAGCGGACCCTGGTGGTTCCCAGAACCCACAGGGTGGTGGCTCTCGGGATTTTGTAACTCCAGTCCCTGACGATCCAACACTTCTGGCTTCCTCAGGCGCCAGGCACACACATGGGGCACAGAAATACGTGCAAGCGAACACATAAAATAAAACGACAACAAAAACTGTTGTTCGCAGCTACACAGACTTTGCTCCTTTGGGGGAAGAGGGCACCCTCGAACAGCCATTCAGGGCAGGAAATCCTCTCTCATAGGACATTCCAACGGACTGCTGGTGGACCAACCCCCTAGCCTTCCTCCTGACTATCTCCACCTGTATATAGAAACTGAGGGAGAAAAGTGAAAGATGTGGTAAGATTCTTAGCAGCGGAGGTCACTAGATACAAAGTAAGTGTTCAATAAATATTTGTTAAATGAATGAGGTCACCCTGTTTCTCCCTCCTGCTCTAATCCCAGGTTCCCTCTAGGGAAAGAAACCTCAACCTCCTTCCTCAAACACCGTCATCAGCACGGCATATTTATCCAGCACGCAGAGCAAGCTGGTACTGTGGGGTTGGGGACAGAGTGGCCTCCTGGCGGGCGAGGCTTACCCAGGAATGCCTCTGAGAGAGAAGGCTCAGGGAGAAGAAAAGACTGAAATCAAGGAAGAGCTGACGCTCCGGCCACGCTGCGCGCTGCATGCCACCGGGGACTGCGGTGAATCAGGACAGAACAGGTTGATTCTCCCTGACTGTTAAACCAGAAGCCTTGGGAAGGTGGGTGGCAACGGCACCTATGGGATTGAAATCCCCCCACCCCCAGGTCTCTGCTTAGCATTCTCCAGGGCCCCAGTTCTAGCTACTCATTGCCTGTAGGGCAAGGAAGGAAGATAGGATATCTGGATTTCCCAGTTGGGTTGGGGGGATGACAGACTGGGACAGTCATCTCTCCGGGGCCACTTCCATTAGGAGGAGAAATCACCCACTTCCACGTCCCGAGACAACCCCAACCTGAATACCCTCTTCCAGCCAGGGCACTGACTATCACAGAGGATCCCTGCTGGCCCCTTCTCTGTGACACGCAGCATTGAAGGTCTTTCCAAGGAGAGCAGTTGGAGGGCTGGGCGGAAGAGAGAGGCTAGGACAGGCCTGAGCACACTCCCTGCACGGTCCACCTCCGAGGCAGTGACATCATCCATACCCATCTTGTCACAGACGGGGAATAATGAGGCCCAGAACCGGGACCAAGTCTCCCACTCTCCAGTCTAGCAATCCTTCCATCAGACATTACTGCGGACCATAACGGGCGCCCGGGGAACTGCCAATGCAGGGGTCAAAATGCCTGATACCAAAAACTCTCAAGTAAAGACACTTAACTACTGGAGGGTTTGGTTTGGTTTGGTTTGGGGGGGGGGGGGGGCTCCCCGCGGGAGCACCAAGCAACAAGTCTCACCCTCCAGCGGCTGGTACAGCGACTTGGGCAAGCCAGCACCTTCCCTTAAGCTCCTCCTAGCTTCCTGCCTAGCCAAGCCCGGTGTCCCTTTCTTCCAGGAAAAAGTTCAAATGTTTCAGAACTTCGAGTCCCCACCCCCTGACCTAGACTGGGGCGGGGTCAAAGGTACCTAAAGTAACGAACTAATCCTAGCCCGGAGAAGAGAGACAAAGTATCCAACAGAAGTATCCATTCCCAACAAAAATTAGATCCCCCTCTTCCAGGCGCCTGCCTCCGGCCCATTCAGACCTGGAGGTGGGATAGGTCAATTCGGATCCAGCCTGGAGAGCTGGGTGCAAAGCACCTAGGAAGAGCCAAAAGGGGTCCCTGCAGAGGAGCACACGGAGGAGGGGCAGGTTGCCTTGGGACTTTAGGTTCACGGCAAGGCAGGAGGGTCCCACCTCAAACTGTACCGGAAACACCCAGCTCTACTCTGCGGTCCCCCATGCAACAGTGTAACCAGATGAACTAGTCCGGCCGGGACCGCGGATTCGGAAGGCCCCTGGGGGACAGCTGATTTCCAGAAGGCCACCCTCTGCCTCCTCTTAAAAAAAGAAAAGGAAAAAAAAACCTCCCTTTTCTCTGCGTCCCCAGAACTCGGCCAATCCCACCCTCCATCGGGGAAACCAGCTCCGAAAAGTTAGCTCTTTGTTCTCCAAGCCGGTCTCCAGGCTGAGCACAATTTCAGATCTCGAAGACGCGCCCCCACTCCCCGACAACTACCCATCCCAACACCCCACCCCGCCCAGCTCCGGCTGGGCTGCCCAGCACTCGGAGTGGCTTGCAATTTGAATTGGGGGTTGGGAAAGCTAGGAAGGAGGTCTGCGGGTTCCCCAACCACGAAACCAGTAAGGGGGGGGGGGGGGATGAGGCAGTCCAGCAGGTCGCTCAAAAAATAGGAGGGTCTCGCAACGAGATTCCGGGGCTACCCCCCTAAATCCCTTTCCCCACAATTGACACTGGCTGGCCGATGGACCCAACCCAGCTCCCAGGCCAGGAAGCCGGTTTACTAGCCGCCCAAGCCCGGCGGGGAGCGCTGGCCCCGGCCTCCGCCCCGCCCCCGCCGCCCCCCCCCCCCCCAGCGCCCCGCGCTTCCGCCTACTTGGCGCTGGGCGCCGCGGGGAAAGGGAGCGGCCGTTTCTCTCTCTCTCTCTCTCTCTCTCTCTCTCTCTCTCTCTCTCTCTCTCCCGGCCCTGGGGGGCGGGTCTGCGCCCCTCACCTCCCGCACGCCCCCCGGCGAGCCCGGCTCCCCGGTCCCCTCCCAGCCCCAGGCGTACACAGCCCATCATCCCTCTCCAGCGGTGGCCGCCCGCCACCTCGCCCTGCATCCCCTGGGTTCCAGACTGGGGTCTGTTCCCGCACCCCCAAGTCGCCTCCCGCCCCCCCCCCCTCCGGGGGGGGGGGGCAGGGGAGAGCTCGCAGAGACCCAGCCCCCTCTCCTCCCCACCCCCGACGCTAGGGACTGCCTAGCTCGGGGCGCCCGGTCCCGGAGCTCACCTTATCCAGACAGTTCACCTTCTCCGTGGGGTACACGATCTTGCCGCACCGGGCGCAGTTAGGGTTCATGGTTCCGGCGAGAGGCTGGGGCGGGGACGCCGGAGAGACCGCGCGCGCCTTCCCTTGGCCTCGGGCGAGCTGGTGGGAGGCGGCGGCGGCTGCGAACAGCGCAGGCGACGGCGGCTGGAACCGGGGAACTGGCCTCCGCCTCCGCCCTCCCTCCCCTAATAAACACGGCGGGGAGGAGGGGCCGCGCCGGCTGGGGCGGGGACGCGCGGAGAGGGGCGCGCGCGCGCGACGGGGGCGCGCTCCCCGGGCGACGCGGGGCTGCGTGGGGGGGGGGGGGGGGGGGGGGGGGGGGGGGGGGGGGAGGGGGGCCGGGCACCAGGGAAGGCTGGGGGGCCCCGCTGCGGGAGCCCCGAACGGCGACGGCAGCCCTTTGCCCCCGGGCTGGAGACGCGGACAGCGGAACCCCGTCTCCCGTGGAGGGGGCCCACCCCACGCACCCGAGGAGGGTGCGGATGGTACCGACTCTCCGGACTCGGGGACTTTCCCGAGACCCTGGGGTACCTGCGGGGAAAGCACCCCGCGCCCCGCCCCGCCCCCCAGCCAGCTCCCTCCCCGCCCACCTCCTCCCCCGGGGACCACCTGCCCCCTTCGCTCTGGGACCCGGCACCCCTCTCGGAGCCGCCCTCCCCGCGCCCCTGCGCCCCGGCCGGCCCTGCTGGGGGCCTGGGGATCCGGGCTTCCCCCGCTCGGAGCCCTCCCGGGCTTTTCTCTTACCCTTCCTGGGTGGCTGTCAGCGCTGCGACAGTAGCTTTATCCTGACTGAAGGGAGGCCGCTCCGAGCTCTACGGCGGCGGCTCGGGGGTATAGCTCAGTGGTAGAGCATTTGACTGCAGATCAAGAGGTCCCTGGTTCAAATCCGGGTGCCCCCTCGATGAGCTCTTTTTTTTTTTTTTTTCCTGTCTGTGATAATGGCCAAATAAAAAATACAACGAGTGTGATCTGACATTCATCCAGCCCTGGGTTAAAACAGAAAGTTGAGGACCGTTTCTCGTTTTACGGTCTGAACAGAAAGCCTTCGCCTTGCACCCGGGAGGAGTGGCACGACCTCAGTGGACCCGAGCCAGACTCGCGCAGACTTGTGCCTCCCGCCGCCCTGAGGATTTTGATGGGACAGTTCTACACTTTGGGTTCTGGGGGGCCGAGATCACTCCCCAGGTTGGCGTTCTGTGTCCCGTGAGGTGGGTCCGAAGGGGGACGCTCACGGACCTAGCCCTTCCCCGGCCTAAGCTGCCTTTTTTTTCCCCCTTTTTTTGTCTCATTCTGCGCTCTTTATCGTTTTCCATCCTTCGCCCTGTTGCTTGGTGACGCGGACCCAGCGAAAGCGCTTCCGGAACGCGACACCGGACGGTGCGCGCCCACCGGGCCCTTTTGGGTGCGAAGGACCCCAGAGCCAAGTCACAGAAACGAGTGCAACGGTTTGCAAACTGTGCGCGCCCCAGGATGACCCGGGGGGCTCGCTGACTTGTGCCCTCCGTTCGCGCTCGTGTAGACCTCGAAGAGGGCCTGGGCAATCGGGTGGACTTTTCAGGCGAGGCTCGCGGGGACCGAAGGGCCGCTACCACGAGGCCCCGGGATATCAGATCCTCATCCGTCTGATGAGTGTGTGATTGGGGGTATCCGGGCTGGAAGGAATCTGTAAAGCGTGAAGAGGGAAGCAAGGGCGGCCCCCTCGGCTAAGTTTTTTGCCCAAAAAAAGGAAAAAAGAAAAGAGAGTGAGGCATGCTGCCTGGGTCAGGGTGCGGCTGTGATATTTTAAACACGGAATCCGGTTGTGTCATCCCAGGACCCCAGGGGAATACGCTCATGCATTATTCCCCTCCTCGTTCCCACTGCTGTTCTCTGGCGGCCGGAGCAGGGAAGGGGGTGAGGGCAGAGCTGCCGGGCACAGCCCAGAAATACCTGAGCAGCCGCTCTTCACGTCCGGGCGCTGGGCTTTGAAGCTGTGCTTTCTCAGGCCTCAGCCTCTCAGGAAAGAGGACGCTTTAGGCCGTGCTCTATGGAGCGTCAGGGAGCTAAGGCTGGCCTCGATTTTGGTATATAGGCTTAAGACTCCCTTGGATCCCTGATCCTCCTGCCTCTGACTCCCAGGAGCTGGGGTTAACAGGGCATGGACTATTCCAACACCTGGCTGTAATATGCTGTTTCTGGATTGATCCTTAGTCATCTGGGTCAGGATACCAAACTAAGTAAAAACAGTACTGCTTTCACACCTCACTAGCCAGTGTGTTAGGAGACAGAATTTGGACTCGGTAAGTACCTGAACGCTGTTAATGTGAATGGTCATGAAAAAACAGACACACCTGGCAAGGGGGCACCCGGATTTGAACCGGGGACCTCTTGATCTGCAGTCAAATGCTCTACCACTGAGCTATACCCCCTCTGCTGGTGAGGGCCTACGGAATTCTTTTTACTTGAGACGTTTCACTTTGAGAATTGTTTATTCATTTAGAAGTATCTTTTTGCTAAGTGATATTGAATTTAAACAATAAAGAGGCGTGCATTTTTTAAAAAGCACTGACAATTTGAAAATGTGAGACAGTTTAAATGGAGGAGTTTAAATCATCATTCAGGCTAACATAGAGATTTACAGAGGTAGACCTGAAGAAAACATCCTACGCAGTATTAAAGCCTCAGGGAAGAAATTCCACAATATGCAACATGATGGATTTTTTTTTTCTCAAGACAGGGTTTCTCTGTGTAGCCCTGGTTGTCCCGGAACTTGCTTTGTAGACCAGACTGGCCTTACCTGCCTCTGCCTCCCAGCTAACATAGTGGATCTTAAAAACCTTATGCTGACTACATACAGAGACCCTGCCTCAAAAATGAATGAGCAAATGACATTATGTGAAATGCAGACACTGTATGATTTCAGTTACGAGGTACATAGAGAGCCACAGAAGTAGAAAAAAAGAAATGGCTGGTGCAATAGAGTGGCACACGGCTGTAAGCCCAGCATTTCTGGGAGGCAGAGGCAGGGATATCTCTGCGAGTTAGAGGCCAGCCTGGTCTACACAGCAAATCCAGGACAGCCAAGGCTACACAGAGAAATCCTGTCTCATAAAACGAAGAAGAAGAAGAAGAAGAGGAGGAGAAAGAAGAAAGAAAGTGTCACAAGGGTTTGGAACAGAGAGGAACAGGAAGCTGCCGTCACTTGTGCAAAGGTGAGTGAATTCTACACACTTTGCTCTACAACTCTGTGTCCAGAGCCCAGGGATGAGGCTCGATGGTGGAAGGCTTGCCTGGCAGACACAGGTCCTGTACTGGGTCAGCAGCATAATTAATTAAGAATTTAAATTCTTAAATTGAAGGTCAAGGCGTCTAACTGTGATGGCACAGACCTGTAATTCCGGAACTTGGAAGGTGGAGGCAAGAGTATCAGAAAGGCTAGCCTCTACTGCATAATGAGTTCAAAGTCAACCTGGGCTACTTGAGACAAAGGGCCACAGACAAACAGAGACAATATGTGAGAAAACTGAAAAGCCAAGAATTTCTCAGGAAGTGCCTCAATGACAGAGTAACCTCTTCAAGGCTCTGGGCTGTAGGTTAGATCCCAACACACACACACACACACACACACACACACACACACACACAGACACCACGTCTTGCAAGTTGTCCTCTGACCTTCACACCCACTTAAGCACACTCACACTCATACACAATAAATGTAAATGTTTTAATTAAAAAACGATTGCTTTGAAAACTCTCATCCAACTGTGATGGGTCACACCAGGAACCCGAGCTCGTTGAAGGCTGAGGCGAAAAGATGGCCAGTTCTAATTCCAGGTCCATTCTGGGCTATATAATATATATAATGTGACCCCGTCCCAACAACAGCAATAATGAAAATCTCATTCGAGAGAAAGCAATAAGCAGGAGGCAGGAGGAAGGCAGATCTCTGAGTTCGAGGCCAGCCTGGTCTAGAGTGAGTTCCAGGACAGCCAGGGCTACATAGAGAAACCCTGTCTTGAAAAGGCAAACATTAAAAAAAAGAAGGAGGAGGAGGAGGAAGGGGAGGAGAAGAAAGAGAATCTTGATGATATTGGGAATTGAACTGAGGAGTTCAGCATGACTTACGAGTTTTCTACCACTGAGCTATACACAGAACAGAGACATTGGATAAACAGTTAAGGGGGACGTTGAAAATGCATTTGGGATTCATCTGGAAGGAGGTCTGGCCTCAAAATAGAATTCTGGTCATTCTCACCATATAGATGACATTCTACTTGAGAAGAAAGCTGTTATCTCTAAAGTGTGCTGGGTTTGGCTCAGACAAATGACAACTTTGGTAGGTAGCTTAAAACAGGCAAGCTGTATGTATTTATTTTATTTTATTTTTTCGAGACAAGGTTTCTCTGTAGTCTCGGCTGTCCTGGAACTTGCTTTGTAGACCAAGCTGGCCTCAAATTCACAGGGATCTGCCTGGCTCTGCCTCCAGAGTGCTGGGATTAAAGGCGTGCGCCGCTGCCGTGTGTGTGTGTGTGTGTGTGTGTGTGTGTGTGTGTGTGTATCTAGCTACTGTGTGTATTGCTAACACAGGCGTTGGCAAGCCTCCCAATAGGCCCCCTGTGGTTACTGTTTACCATCGCACAGCATCTGTTTCCTGCAGAAGAGAACTGGCACTCTCTAAAGCTGAGTGAGAGTGAGGAGAGTCAAAGACAGGAGAGCCTATGCGGTGGTCGTTTTGGAAAGGAAAACGATGACCATACTTGGGCAGAGGTGTAAGTACACTAGACAGGACGAGGGGTGGAGGGGCACGAACACGTGCTTTTTCTCGGCAACACTCGGCCACCGGGCACAATCGTGGAGCCCGCCTGTAACGGAAGGAAGTTACTTAGTCCGTAGACTGGCAAGGAAACACAACCGAAGCCTCACAGCGAACCAGGCAGTGTGCCAAGCCAGGACCTCGGAGGACACAGAGAGTGAAATATGATCCCTGAGCTCAAGAAACACACAAGTTCACCAGGAGCCGGAGGGGGTGAGCTAGAAGGCTCAGCAGGGAAAGGTGCTCCCCACCAAACCTGGTGACTTCAGTTCAGTCCCTGGGATCCACATAGTGGAAGGAAAGAATCAATTCCCACAAGTTGTCCTCAGGTTCTCTCTCTTTCTCCCTCTCTCTGCCATTTAAAATAGATGCGT